TCTGTCAGATTTAACTTTGATTCTTAATAAGTTCCAGGTAAGTTCTGCTTAAAACTCTTTCCTTAAAACTATCTCCTTGTTGCTCCAATTGGAAAACAAAATGGTCTATTGGCACAGATTCTCATTTGACTGGTCATTCACACACCCCTCCAATGTGGGAGTCAGCCAACTGGGGCATGTCAACCCAGCAAGCAGCAAAAATGCCAACTGGGACATTATCCCAACAATGAGAAGATGCCCACCATGACAAAGCTTGTCCTTGGACAAGGGATCAAAGGGGCAAAGGGGCATCCCGAAGCTGTCGGAAGAAACTTCTAAGAGAGGATGGTGTCAGAGCCTGAAGGAATCCTTTGTGCTTGCTCTTTCAAAACTAAAAGGCAGGAGGTCATCAGAAAATAGTTCATAAGCATGGCCATCTACTGCCCATACTTGGCTACTTCGTAACTGGGCAGGAACTGACACACTTGCCTATCAATCACTTATAGTGGGTGGTAAAATGCTAGGGTTTTCAAATGGGGGATAATTCAAAATTAACAAAAATTCTAGCCCCCATTATCTGCTCATGGCCTTAACTGGCAGAAAATATTTGGTCTGGCACCAGCCACATGAATTCATCTGGTCAGGGAAAAGGGGTAAACCTGGAATATTAGCAAATCAAAACACTCCTCCAGGCACCTGGCCATTCAGGCCTATTAGACCCCACACACTCATGTAAAGAGGTCTTAATAAATATCTGTACAGATTCTAAATATACCTTCTTGGTATTACATGCCCATGCAGACATTTTTTAAAAAGAAGTTTGTTGGCTAATGATAACTTTCCAATAGGTCATGGACCTGAGATTGTGTCCCTATTAAGAGCTATTTGGAAACCTTTGCAGGTAACTGTTATGCATTGTTAGTGTCACCAAAGATCAGGTTCCCTGGTCAGACAGGAAAATGCTTCTGCAAACTGGAGTGCTAAACAGGCCACGCTGGCCTGCTATATAAAAATGGCTTTTATACTGCTTCACATGAACTTTTACCTAGATGGAAGGGAATCTATGCAAGTTCTTCTCAGTGTTCCTATAACTCATTTTCATGATGGATCTGAACTTTAATGAGGCCTGAAAATCTGCCAGCGTTACAACACAGGTGGATTAGGTCTGTTTTCCCACTGCTATGATCACCTGACCTGTCTCTATTGTATCTGCTGACCAGGAGGATGGCATATGGCATATCACATCATTTAACAAGCTTTCAATGACACCGTTAAAGGGATCTCTTAAATTCGGAGGTAAAAAAAATGATCAGACAAGCTGTCCTTCAAAATTATGACACCTTTAGACATCCTTACTGTAGGCCAACAAGAAACCTGTGCAGTTGTAAAATGTTAGCTTTAAATGAGCTCCTTACCTATGGTACTACAGAAACACTTAGTTAAAATATGCTATTTTCCTTTTTGGTACTAATATGTGGGAGATTGATTTTTTTATATTGTTTTGGTGGCTTGTTATCCTCCCTAAATTCTCAAATTGAATTCTTTCCAATGTAGTGTAAAAACAAATGCTCCTAATGACTTCTGATCCTGGCAATCAGCAAACTGAATTTCTCATGTCATCCCTTGGTAAAATAGGACTTCAGGTTTCTGGCTAGCCCCTCTCCTCAGCTTTAAGCAGTTACAGAAGATAGATCTTTACCCATTCATTCCATTGAGGGCCAAAATCATTTTTGGAAAAATGAGTCAGGACAGAGTTTTAAAAAATAGGTATGGGAAAATTGTGGTAACAAGTACAGACCATCTTGAGTGTGGAGACCTCATTTATGAGATCATTGCCAGTCCAGGCCTTGTCTGCCCAGGAAATCCTAGCCTCACTGGAGGAAATTTGGTTACTAAAAGTTGTCACTCTGCTATGTTGTCCAGGGCCTCACTGCCACTGATCAAGAAACTGCCTTAAAACCGGTGGGGCCCCTAAATATTTTACTGACTTTCCATCCTGCCATCCAAATTGGTGTCCTACAGACAACTGGACTACAGCACTGGTGGTATATATTTGTTAGTTAAGTAGAAGGAAGGCTGACAGGATGACCATGTAAGGCTTCCGGTAGGAAAGTGTCAAAGACAACCTGAACAATGACCACAGTTCACAAGCTCTTAACAATGTTAAAATTCAAAGCCTGATGCTGGTGGCTCACACCCAGAATCCTGCTACTCAAGAGGCTGACATCTGAGTACGGCAGTTCAGAGCCAGCCCAGACAGAAAAGTCTGTGAGACTATTAACCACAAAAAGCTGGACATGGAGCTGTGGTTCAAGTGGTAGAGTGCAAAAGCTCAGGGAGAGATACCCTCCAAGCCCAGAATTCAGGCCCCAGGACCAACAACACAAAAGTTAAACATTCAGACTGTGACCAACTCACATATCTTATCATCCGAACAGTTAAAAAATAAAGTTTATTCATTGTAAGGCATGAAGAACTTGGAAGACTATAATATACGGAGTCAAAAAGTACATTATTGCTTACAAAATACTTATGGTTTTCTTAGACTCAAACACAATGTAGATATTTCAATAGTCTGTTAATAACTGGCTTGTTCTAATGTTTTGCAAACTGATGTTGAAGAACTGGCTCAGCAGGGAACCATTCTCTGGCAAGTATTGACCAATCCTGTGCATTTTAAGACTGTATTTTTAGATATAACTGTATCACAGGATTTATACAACAGACCAGTATATCAAGACCAACACACTTCACGCTCAATTTATCTACTGTTTGCTTTATCTTAAAATGTTCTATTTAAGACTTTGGCTAAGAAGTCACTTGATTCAAGGTACCCTCTCCCTCCCCCTATTCTCCTCTCCCCCCCTTCCCCCCCCCCCCCCGCCCCATTCCTCTTTTGCTGAGCCATAGCTCAGACATGGAAAATAGAATGGCCCAGATTGAAAACACAACGAAAAAGCACACTGCAAAATCATATCCACCTTCTTTTCATTCCTAACCTTTGCAACACTCCTTTGGCGATGAGTGAAGGTTTTGAATCTTTGTAAGCATACTTCCATCCTGATTCTGTGAGTCTGAGGAAAAGAGCAAGGAGGTCTCTTTTAACAGTCAGACGATGGCAGTCCAAGAGGACCCAAATCCGTCTTTAAGGAAAATTACCACTTTACAGTCAAGTCCTTTCCCCTAGGACTGGTCATGAACACCACGGACCTGGAGTGTGCAGGTCCTTCCTCTATGAATGTGAATCTTACTAAGAGGCTCTCCAGGGATTAGCTGCTTCACTGCTTTCAGTATGCCCACCACCAAGGAGAGTCCCAGCAAATGGGACAGATGACACAGAATTAGATGTCACATTAACAAAAAACAAAACAAAAAAACCAGAAAAAGCTCAACAGGTCATTTTGTGCACTCAGAGGTTTCCAACAAATTTTATTTTGCAGACCACTGGTGGGCAGCTTTTAAGGACCAATATCTGTATACATTTCTATAAAATGTCCCATCAGTGTCCCTCCTGTGGCAGCCTCCTCAGCTGGACCCCAGATCCGGTGGCTTCTGCTCCAGGTATACATGGCCCCCGGAGGGCATGCCCACACTGCAGCCTCTTCCTGGCAGGGAGCTTCATCTGCTGGGCAGTGGTTTCCTGTAGTAGGGTCAGTTGGATCACAAGCGCAGCTTTGGTGCTTGCGAGCAGGAAGCGTTCAGCAACTTGCAAAGCCAGGGTTTTCTCTCATGAAGACAGACATGGGAGGGTGCCCTGCGCTTAGCGATGGGAAGCCCTCTGAACTGCTCAGTAGGTAACAATAAGGAAGCCTCTGCTTTAAGTAACACAGATATCACCCTTTTAGATTGCCTATTTGTTCTAGAACTACAAAATTTAATTCAAGAAAATATAGGTCCCATGAAAGACTTAAAAGTTTTATAAAACTAAAATCTAGTTTTCCCCGATAAATTGTACTTTAGGCAAAACCCTCCCAATGCTTCTAAAATAATACTAAAAGGGGCATCTGATTATACAAGAGCAATTAAAAAAATTAAATATTTATTTGAATAACAAGTTTACGTTCAAGCTGCAACGCTGGCAATGCAGATTTAACACAGATCACAAGAAGCGTGCACAAGAAAAGTACTGGCGCGAAGGGCAAGTAATGCTAAGAATGGGCTATGGCGCTGCTGACCATAGGACAGAAAGGCCCAAGATCACTATACAAAATATAAAATGTGTGAAACACTACCATCCACAGAACAGTCTTTATTACTGATTATATTTAAAAATGATTTGCGTAGTTAGTTATATACTGAGTTGTCACTGAGAACTGTACATGAACCCCCATCGAAGGCAATTCCTTGTTGCACTGTACAACATCTAATTACACTGCAAAAAGTATCCTTTTCTGCCATCAGTAAAGAAAACAAATGTTATTACTGTAAATATCAGGAAGGCTACCAAAAAAAAAAAAAAAAAAAAGCAAGATTTCTTCTTTGTCTTCAAAGTGCTTTCCATGCAGAGCGAAGCACCCGGCTTGGTGAACTGAATGAATTACTGTTGGAGAATGTCCTGGGTCAGAATCAAAGACTCAAAGGAACCATGCAACCTCGTACTACAGGAGGCCACCATGGAGCTTCCCAGTTCTTTCCAGAATACCATCCGAGACACTGAAAAACAGACTGATATGATAAATACACACAAAGGGAAGAGACACAGACTGCTATGTGGCACTACTCTTGTAGTGTCTGTGCTGTGGGGAAGCACCTTGAGAAAGAGCCTATGCGGCAAGAGATACGTGTCTAAAGATTCAAAATGAATCAACAGTATTGGATAACAATATAATTCTCAACTCAGAAGCTGCCTCAAGATTGGGTGCGTCTGCAGTTAATGTAACAGGAGAGAAGGCCATGGATTTCATCTTATTAATTGCATCCACTCACAAACCCATCTAAGGTCACTAGATGTGTAGACACAATGAAATTTTTGCTGTTCGTAAGTCTTTAATTGAAGTGATGATAAAGGAAATAGATCTATTAAAAAACACAACCAAGTAGCTATTACTGCCTAGATTAGGAGGTGGCACCAGGCGTGGGGTTTGCGTTCTGAGTGGCCACCGCGACTTCGATGATCCGGGGTTTGTCTATGATTCTGGCCGTGCGGTTACCCTTCTCTACAATCCCAATAATCCATGCTTGGTGGCCTTCGCCGTATTTGGGGGACTTTATCTCCGCACAGAACCGAGCTGCTTGCTCACGTGGTAAGCAGATCAGAAGGCCTCCTGACAAAGGAAAAGACTCAGCATTAGTGGTCACATGCAGAGAACAGTCCATGGCTTCTCCAAAACTGCTTCCCAACAGAGGAAGGCAACCAAGCCTTGTTCAAGTTGCTCTTTTCATTCGACTAAGGCAAGGGTGGGACTGAAGAAGGCCATAGAAACGGATGGGTCTGGTTCTAACATGACCAATGGAGACAGAACTCAAATTCCAAATCCCCCTCCAACCCAAACCTGGAAAAGCAGGTGTGAGTAGCAACATCATTAGCTTCACCTAGTGTCACATGCCTCAGGAAAGAAGTTCCAGCTATCACATTAGGAGTTAATGAATGTCTGACCAAGATAGCAGACTAATTCTAAAGCTGACAATTTTGTACGGTCTAAGATTGGTGCTAGCTCTATCCAAAGAGCCTTTGGCAGAAAAAAAAGGATCCCCTCTATGACCTCAAATTCTGTAGACGAAGTAATTTTTTGGCAAAATCTTCTTTTGTGTGTGTGTGTGTTTCTAGGACTTGAACTCAGGGACTGGACACTGTCCCTGAGTTTTTGTGCTCAAGGCTAGTGTTCTACTATTTGAACCAGCTTTACTTCCAGTTTCTGGTTAATTGAAGAGTCTCATGGACTTTAGCATAGGCTAGCTTTGAATCATGATCCTCAGATCTCAGCTTCCTGAACAGCGAGGATTACAAACATAAGTCACCAGTGCTCAGCTTGGCAAATCTTACTATTACAAAACACATACATCTGGAAATAACCCATCTGAACCACTTAATACTGCGCAGTTAGGTGTGTGAGCCTTAGTAATATACATGGTAGCTACTGTTCTGTGCTAAACTAAGAGACATATTTATGAATAAAAATGTTCCTTTTGTATACTTGTGAAAAAAAGCTTTGAAAAATGTGTTTGTTTTGAGACAACCTCCCTCTGTAGATAGCTCAGGTTGTCCTCAACCTCAAAATCCTCCTTCCTCTGCCTCCCAAGTGCTCATGTTACAGACTGGCACTACCAGGCCCACCAAAAACTTCTCACTCCTGAATAAAGAAAATAAAAAATTCACTCAGTGCCCACTAGGTGGCAGACACACACAGTCAGCAGGAAAAATAATCTGTTTCCTAGGAGATACTTTTGGTTTTGGCAACTAAGGCTGAGAGTCTGGGAAGGGCTTTGTAGTACCCACCTTTGGCCTAGTACCACAACCTTCCAGGAAAGTAACCCCCCCCCCCCCAACCAGGCATTAGGTTTTCTAGGAGCCAGGTCTCTAGGCATCTGTATCTTCTAAATCCTCGGGGTATAAAAGTAGTTATAAAGGAAACAGAAATGAGAGAAGCTAAAGAAGTTAAAAAATAAAATAGGGAGAGCTAAAAGGTGAACAAGAAGAGGTATGGTAAAGAGAAATAGCATTTTAAAGCACAATATACCATTTTATTCTTAAAACAGTTTTAGACACTTTATGTTTCCAGTGAAAGCTGGGTAATGATTTATTTAACCTACAGCACCACCATATGGCCATATGGAGAACGAGGACATTAACTCAAAATGGCAGCTGTGGGTCTCACATACACAGGAGGGACCTCCCAGAAAGTGGGGACACATTCATGCATCACCGAGCCCCAGTGAACCCAGAGCTGGGCCCCAGGTCTTCCTACCTGATGTCTCTGGGCAGGTCCCATGCATGAGGCCAAACATGTTCCCACAGGCTTTGCTCACAGCAGCCATCTTGGCCAGCACAGGAAGGTTGTGAATTACAAAGGACACCTCATTCCTCTGTTGCTTCGCCAGGTTCTGTGCATGGCCCAAAATCCCAAAGCCTGTGATGTCTGTGGCTGCGTGGGCATTGAACGTGTGCATGAGTCCTGCAGCTGAGGGGGCAGATGGATGACTGTTACCCAGTGACCTCAAAATTCCTCATTTTGTCAAGAATCATGAAAAATACAGTATAAAAGTCATCAAAAGCCAGTGTGAAGTTGGGAAAGCTAATGCCTTATTTTAATTTGAGCCACTGGGAACCTATCAGCATCTTCACCGCATGATTTCCCAGTAAACTGAAAAGACCACACAAAAGAATTACAATCAAGGGATGGAAAACTGTTAAATTGTCCTAAAATCACACAGGACTAGTACAGAATGCCTGACTTAAAATCAAAATGCTCTTACTAGAAAGGAATTGTTTGAAAACTTCCTTTCTTTTACATTTCTATTTACTTCTTATTTTTGAGGTAGGGTCTTACTATGTAGTTCAGACTAGACTTGAAGTCTCGATGCTTCTGCCTGAGGCCCCTGAGCTCTGGGACTCATTTCATGCTCTTAAGAAAAGTCATCAACTTTATTTTTTTGGAGCCATTTGGGGCTTAAGGGCAGGAATTTCCCACATAATCTTGAGGTTGGCCTGTTCTATTATTTTGCATACAGTGCAGCTGATCAAATGTGCTAATAAATCAACTAAAATCCAGGTTACATGGCAGCTGTATGTTAATTCTACTTTTTATAAATGTCCAACACAGCCACCACTACTTTCATCACAAGCAGTGTCACTGTTCTGCCATCCTGTGCCCTACCCTTTAGCCCTGGTAGCCTCTGATCTATGTACTGTTTCTAGAGTTTTCCCTTTATAGCATGTGGTCATATAGTACACAGCTTTCACTTAGCAATACAGATTAAAGGGTCATCCAAGCCTAGAGAAACATAAAATACTAAGATGTATTTGGGAGTGCTGGGTCAGTGGCCAATCTTCTCTTATTTTCTAAAAACTGTATTAAGCATGTCAATCTTTTGCAGAAGAAAAACCATAAAAATAAATGGAAAGACAGACATAAAAAAGAAATTAAAAGAGCCGGGTGCTGGTGGCTTACACCTGCAATCCTAGCTACTCAGAAGGCTGAGATCTAAGAATCACACTTCAAAGCTAGCCTGGGCAGTTATGTCTGTGAGATTCTTTATCTTCAATTAACCATCAAAAAGCTGGAAATGCTGTTGTGGCTCCAAGTATTAGAGCACTAGCCTTGATCACAAAATCTCAGGGACAGTGTCCAGGCCCTGAGTTCAAGCCCCAGGGCCAGCACAAAAATAAAAAGAAGTTAAATGTAGTGCCCTGATGTAAATGGGAATAACATTTAAAAGCCAGTTTGCACTATTTAGAAAGGCTGAGGCATAGGTAATAGAGGCTCAGCCACCAAAGTTCTACAGAAGTAACTAATTCAAATGTCCACCAACAATGAACCAGACAAGTCAAGCAAACACTGGAAAATTATACAGAAGTAAAAATGAATGCACTACAGCTATACACAGAGAAGATTCCAACACCATTAAATGGTAGACAACACAACAGAGAAACAACTATTTAAGGACACAGCTTATATACTACTTTAGAATGCAAGAAAAAACTACGTGTATAAGGTGCTGAAACTTATCCAGTGATTTCCCTTGGTCAGCTTTTCCCCCCCTAATACAAAAGTCTCATTTAATACTTTTCTCCTGTGAACACACAAAGTATAGATGTTCCTCAATGCACAATAGGGCAGTGATAATGCTGTATCCAAACTATCTTAAGTCAAAAGATGCGTAGAACACATACAGCCTACCAAGCACATGCACCATGGTGCAACCCAGAAGGCTGAGCACAAGATGTATGGCATGCTGCTATGCCCAGCAGCATGTGGGGCGAGATCGCACTGGGAAACCATCACTATTCAAAACCGACCAGTGCCTACTGACTGGGTGTCACTCTCACGACACCATGAAGTTGGACAACTGTAAGGGCCATCACCATAAGGACTCCGGGACTCTCGATTCCCGTGAGTGACTGACGGAAGGAGACCTAGTGCCAAGAGAAGATGGCTTGTGGTCACTAGCCAAACCTGGCAATTAAACATGTGTAGAAAGAAAGCAGTAAGAGTCAAGTGACACTATATGGCCTAAGAAGCCTAAAATATATGCACCCAGCCTTCCCAGCTGTTCCCGGCCCCATACCTGTCCTGTTGAGCCGGGCCATGTTCATCATTGCCTCCTGGTATGCCAACTCTACATCTTCTTGGGTGACTACGAGCTTAATTTTATTCCATTTTTCAGGCTAACAGCAGAAACATAGGTGGAAAAGAGGGAGAAATTGTAATTAATCTTTCCTTCCAGCCACTGACAAAAAGAGCAGTTCATCTCCTAGCCATCTTGTACAGAGTTTTGTTTTCTCTCTGTGGTGAGGATAAGCCCCAGGCTGCCTGCACACTAAGCATGCACTGCATGACACCCCTGCCTCCAGGGCCAATGGTGTTGGTTATTTAATAGTTTTGTACCAAAAATGAAGAGTGCTTCGCTTGTCTGTGTATCTTAAGTGTCCATCAGACTTATTATGCTGTCTTTTCTGTTCACCCCACAGTTCTATAATCAAACATCATAGTTCACTTGATATATAAATCTACAGGATATAGGAACATCCCATAAGCAGAGAAAGGAGGGGGGGGAGAGAAAGGAAGGAAGGAAGGAAGGAAGGAAGGAAGGAAGGAAGGAAGGAAGGAAGGAAGGAAGGAAGGAAGGAAGGAAGGAAGGAAGGAAGGAGTGAACCCAGGGCTGTAGTTTGCTCTTCTTTGGCAGGATTATCAAGTTAGTGGGGGTCACAGATAGAGAGCCTGCCTACCATATGCCAGGCTGTTTGATACCTAGTACCATAAAACAAAATCCAATATCCAGTATCCAGTGCAGTAACTATGGATTAGGAACACCGGCCATCTATTTATCATGGTACCTGTCTCCCAGCAGTAACAACTACTCTCAAGTCTGTACTTACTATTTCCTGCCTTTCTCATAATATAGAGTCCAAAACAACACACTCTTGATTGTTTCTAGATTTTATAAAATGCACTCTGGCAGGGCACTGGTGGCTCACATCTGTAATCCTAGCTACTTATGAGGCTGAGATCTAGAGCAGAGGTTTAAAGCCAGCCCAGACAGAAAAGCTCTTGAAACTCTTATCTCTAATTAACCAGCAAAGAGCTGGAAGTAGAGGTATGGTTCAAGTGATAGAGCACTAGTCTTAAGCAAAAAAAAAAAGCCAAATGAAAACACAGTACTGAGTTCAAGCCCCAGTACTAGTACACATATACACAAAACCCCACAACACTGTACTGTTACACAGTACTTGGAATCTGCTTTCGTAAGTTCTAAACATTTTGAAAACACGTTTTTAAGTTAAGATGTGTCAAGCTGAGGTGGAGAGCAGAAAGACTCCCCTTACCCCCTCGCCTGCTCCTGGCTCCCTTGCAAGTCTCTGCAGGCCTGGGCAGTTATGCTAGACAGACACCTGCAGGCCACCCTGGAAGGGACTCCAAGCTGGGAAAGAACAGGTCTGTGTCACAGAAGTCCTTACTCTGTCCCATCAAGAAAAGATTCATCTAGTAAATAACAAAAAAATTACTGCTTTTTCTTTTTTTCAAAATAAGCTTTTTATTGTAAAAATACCGTACAGAGGGGTTACGATCACATGAGCAAGGTAATGAGTGCATTTCTTATCAAGCATTGTTGCCTCCTCCTGTTTTCCCCTACCATCCCTTCCCCTCCCATCTCCACAACTACACTGCTGGCCCCCCCTTCACCCTCCCACCCCCCATCCCTGCCGAAATTATAAAGTTCATTTTTCAACATAGCGTCTTTTACATCTCATTGTTGCAATGGGTCAACCTGTATCCAACAATTGGTTTTTCCCTTCTACTCCCCAAATTATACCAACATCAAATACAGTAAAAACAGAGGTTATACCTTGGGGAGGGACATACAAAACAAAAAAAAAATCAGGTGGCACCTTATAAATACGTTAGAAACAATAGCAAGAAAGAAAACCACCTATGTCCTTATCTTGGGGTTAATTTCGCTTAACATCATCTTATCTGACCTTTTCTGGTTGTCTCAGATATATACTACTTATTGCAAATAAGGGAAACCATGGGACCTATGTTTCTTTAGGCCTGGCTTACTTCACTTAGGATATTTTTTTCTGAGTCTTTCCATTTCCTAACAAATGGGGCATTGTCATTCTTTCTGATGGAGGCATAGAATTCCATTGTGTATATCTTCTTAATAGAGAACTGCTAGTATCAATTATAGAAACTAAAACAACACCTTATAGATAAAGAGATGACATAACCTTTGAGTTGCTATGTTAAAGAAGAAAATCCTATAGCTCCCAGCTGTAACCCTGGCAACTCAGGAATCTGAGATCTGAGATCTTCCAGGAAAGTCTGTGAGACTCTAATCTTTAATAAGCTACCCAAAAAAAAAAAAAAAGCCAGCAGTGGAGCTGTGACTCAAGTGGTAGCGTGCCAGCCTTTAGCAAAAGTGCTCAGGAACAGTGCCTCGGCCCTGAGTTCAGGCCCAGGACTGATACAAAAATAAATCAATAAAAAAAATTAAAATCTGAAGCATGATTAAAACTCAAGTGGGAAAATTGCTGAGAATTAACACTTAGATGATCTTAGTTGTTCATCAGTTTGAAGGCAAAACAAAGCAACAACCCCAAACTCAAGTAAAGATATGCCATTTATATGACAAACATCATATCCAAAACCCTCCTCCACATTTTGCCTTGCACTTGCCAAGCAGGCATCTGAGTCTCCACTCCAGCCCTCCTCATTTTTTAGAGGTTTAAGACGTAAAAGACAAAACTATTTTCAGTACCCAATAAGCAGATGAAGCCTCCTAGTTCCTTACAAAAAATCTCTCAAGTCCAGTTTGGGGGTTACCCACTTCACAAACTCAGTACATCAAAATTATATTTCATAGAAGAATAAAGACTACTTTAGGATTTTTTAAAGGCCTTAACGAAACTTCCTGGGTTTAAAACAAGAATTTCATTTTCAAAACCACCTAACAAAAATCCCCCCCCAATCCAAAAGCTAGCCATCCACACAAGTGGAAATTTACTCACGATATCCAGCCACTGGTGGACCGCCACAGCGACCTGCGTCCCCAGGGGCTTAGTCAGCACTAGCACATCCCCTGGTACTGCATTATCTGGCCTGAAGTGAAGAAAAAGAGCATGTTCGAGTTGGGGAAATGCTGTTATTTAAATGTAAGCCAACCATCACCCTGTCCTCCATCCACTGGATACAGCTGAATACCCTCCTACCTGGGGAAATGCAGGTACCCATGGGCTTAAATGTAGGAATTAATTATCTACAGATTTTTTTTAAATATAGCTGGACTTTCCGTGCACACTTGTAATCCAGGCACCTGGGGAAGCTGAGCAGGAGGATCTTGAGTTTGAGGCTACCCTGGGCTACACAGCAAGACCTTGTCCCTGTCCTCATCCCCCCAAAATGTGCAAAGCAGCAAGTCATGTAATGTTCACAGGTTCCAGCAGGCCTCGTGTGAGTGCACATGGCTTACTGGCAGAGTTCAAAATGATCAAAGGCAACACGACCTCTCCAAGACTACTGGTTTATGACTGTGTACATGGTAGACACTCAGGGGGGTAATTATTTTGAGTTATGGGATCTGGTTGGTCCATGTTTTGTTAATTTCTTCATTCAGGTTTCAGACTGAGTAAAGTTCCCTAGCTGGTATGTTAGGGAAGTCCTTAACAGAAGACAAACAATGAAAAACTCCTTGTGAAGAAACAGACTGATTCTGAAGAGAATGGCTATTCTATCTGCATCTTCACTTCCAGGATACAAGTCTACCACTCAGGCCTTCTCACTTCATTAGGCCCATCTCCTGGCTTTGGGCCATGTGAGTACTCAGTGCAAAAGCAAGCCAGGGCACATACTTTAGAAATAAGCCTCAGCCCCCAAGCTAACCCATAATAAGCATGTCCATTGTCAGCTTTGCACAATATAATTTCTGTGACACTGCAGAATTGGCAAAAAAAAAAAAACTAGACCTTCTCATAGCAGGCTTAGCCTTATTTGAAAGCTGGCAAGTTCTTCCACTTCATTGGTTATGTGTAATTTATGAATTTATTTCAAGGTAATTATGATAAAACTATGGGGATAAGGTGCACGGGACTCAGTCTCCAATCCTAGCTACTCAGGAGGGTGAGACAGGATTGCCATTCAAAGCTAGCCCAGACAGAAAAGCTCAAAAGACACTATCTCCAATTAACCAGCAAAATACCAGGCTGGAGGTACAGTTCAGGTTGGGGAGTACCAGCTTTACCCAAAAAAAGCTGAATGAGGACACAAGGCCCTGAGTCTAAGCCCCAGAACCAGCACTTGGCATATGCACACATTTGCACACGCATGTGCACACACAACATAACACACACCATACGCCATGTGGATACTTTTAGGTTTATGAACAATTTTTTTTTTTGGTTGTGGGGCTTAAACTCTGGGTCTGGACACTATCTCTCAGCTTTTCAACTCAAGGTGAGCGTTCTACCACTTGAGCTACAGCGCCACTTCCGGTTTTCTGGTGGTTTATTGGAGATAAGAGACTCATGGACTTTCCTGCTCAGGTTGGCTTTAAACCATGATCCTCAGATCTCAACCTCCTTTGTATCTAGGATTACAGGCGTGAGCCACCAGTGCCTGGCTACGAACCATTTTTTTTATCAAATGTTCAGGCTCATTCATCTTATAGTGTCCCTACAAATAACCTCCATCACTTAGAAAATAGGCAAGAGATATGAATATGTGAAAAATATGTTCAACTTAAAAAAAGCTGAGCAAGAATGTGAGGCCCTAAGTTCAATACCTAGTACTGGCACAAAAAAAACAAAAACAAAAACAAAAAAACAGACAGACAAGCAAAAATATTCTCAACCTTTAATCTTAAGAGTAAGGTTAAGCCGGGCGCTGGTGGCTCACGCCTGTAATCCTAGCTACTCAGGAGGCTGAGATCTGAGGATCGCGGTTCAAAGCCAGCCCGGGCAGTAGAGACCGTGAGACTCCTATCTCCAATAAACTACCAGAAAACCGGAAGTGGCGCTGTAGCTCAAGTGGTAGAGCGCTCGCCTTGAGCTGAAGAGCTGAGGGACAGTGCCCAGGCCCAGAGTTCAAGCCCCACGACCGACAAAAAAAAAAACAAAAAAAGAGTAAGGTTAAGATAAGGTATTCAGGAAGCTGAGATCTGAGGATCAGAGTTCAAAGCCAGCCCAGACAGAAAAGCTGTGAGACTCTACCTCCAATTAACCAACAAAATGCCAGAACTGGAGGTGTGGCTCAACTGGAAGAATGCCAGTCAAGCAAGAGGCTGAGGCCCTGAGTTCAAGCCCCAGTGCCAGTAAACCACCAAGCAGAATAGCAAAGACCCAGAAGTTTGTTCCCTGATGCCAGACAGGATGAGGAAAGCTAGCTCACTTACTCACTGTGGTGGAGCCTCTATGACAGCTTTCAGAATTATCACTACACATCACCTGCTCTAGCAAAATTTCTCATTCATAGACATCATGCCTAACTGCAAGGTCCACTCACTAAAGTTCATGTGTAGTGTCAATGGCATCCTGGTTAACAATACAGGACTGGTGGAGAGGGCGCTGAGGCAGGGACTGGGGCCCAGCGACAGGCCGGGGCTTCTGAACTACAGATTCTTTCCCACACCTTTGAAATTATGGGCCAGCAAACACAGTACCCACCAGTGTCCATCTAAAAAATAAAAAAGTGGAGTTCTGCGGCCTTCAGGAAATCAGGCAGTGTGGTTTTCCTTGCAAGATATCAAAAATAGAAAGTAACAACCTGTCCTGAGATGCTTGTCCAATAGCTAGGCACCAGTGACTCAGCCTACAATCTCAGCTACTCAGGAGGCTGAGATCTGAGGATAGTAAGCCATCCTGGACAGACAAAGCTGAGACTCTTATCTCTAATTAACCAGCAAAAGGCTGGAAGTAGAGGCAGGGCTCAAGTAGTAGAGCACCAGTCATGAGCAGGATGAGAGGGTTCTCCTGTACTGTACATACATGTGGATGCGCGTGCATGCACACGCACACACAAAGCCACAATAAAAAATCACTTCTGGAGGGGATGTAGAGCAATGTTTCTGTATTAAAAACTCACACATAAAATGTTCATCGCAGAATCACTGCTTAAAGAAAGCATTTCAGACTTACGCTACAACCTGAAAACATGTTAGAGGAAACCAGAAACAAATGCCAAATACTGCAGGATGTCCTTATGTAAAATGTTCCCAACAGGCAAAGGCCTACAGATAAGCAGACGAGTGACCTGCAGGGCGAGGTGGGAACTGGAAGTGATGGCTAATGCATGGAAGTGAAGGAGACCTTCTGGCAACTGAACAGGGGCCAAGGCTGTACAACCCTATACTAGACAAATGCTCAAGTATGTACTATGAGATCTCGTTAGGTGAACTATATCTTGATTAAGTTTCTAAGATTGAGACAGGCAAGTTGATGTGTACCTAGGAGGCTGACACAGGAAGATCAGGATTTCAGGGCCAGACTGGGCTACACAGTCAGATCCAGTATGGAAAAAAAAAAAAAAGCATACATCTAAAATTCATAGAGAATAGTTTCATAGGATTGAAGTATTGACCTGAGCTACAAAATGGATGAGCTTAGACAATATGGTAGCATAGGGCAGGAGTGGGGAATGGGTTTCTTGTTAGATAATGCAAAATGTTCTAAAACTCACTCAGGTGATGACTGCACTCAGTATTTGGAATCAAACACTCTATTTATACCTTCAGTGTGTGTGTGAGTAACACTTTTATATATGTGTTTTTAAAAACAGAGAACAACAGGAACCGACTTACATGATAAATTCATTGGGCTGGCAGACGGTTGTGGCGACTCCTCCTAGAACAATCCAGGGGTTTAACACTGTTTGGCCACCTGTCACTGACGTTCCTGCTTCCTCTGCCGCATCTTTAAAACCCTGTATAATTAGGGGTATGACTTTATCTCTTTCCTAGGGTTTAAAAGGACACAAATGAAAAGTTAAATAATTCTGTTGAAACCCCAAGAATGTGGGTCCCACACTTATAAAAGGATCACCAACTCCTAAGGAAGTTCTGAAAGCTGGCAGCCAGGGCAGGGTGTAACAAAAGCAAGGGAATACCAGCCTGCTACCAGTGCTAGCTGGGCACTTCAGTGAAGGAAGCTCAGGCAGGAGTGTACTGAGTACCAGTATATGTCATGGATGCTTGCACCTGGTCCCAAGTCTGCTGACTAGCAAGAATCAGCTCTTGATGGACGTGAGGGTGCACACCCACAATCCCTGCTATTCAGAAAGTAGAGGTAGGAGGCTCATGGTTCAAGGGTGGTCATGGGGAACAAAAGGGAGAGACTTTTATTTTAAAAAAAAAAAGGCAAAAACTGGGGATGTTGTTTGATAAGAAATCTACTCACTATCTTGCCCATGTAATTGTAACTCCTTTGTATGGTATTTCCACAATAATAAAGAAAAAGAGAAAAAAAAAAACATATATACATATATTAAAAAAAACAAAACTGGGGATGTGGGTCAAATGGCAGAATGCTTTGTGAAACGAACACTAGGGCAAGTTCAATCCCCTAGTACCACCAAAGTAATTAAAGAAAAAAAAAGAACTAAGAATTCTAAGATTAACTATATGCATATAAGCCCTGCCTTCAAGGAGGATTACTACTTTACCAAGGAGGGCTGAGACTTGCTGAGGCCTACAATGGTAATGTACACACCAAAAGCCCTTGCTCAGACTGCTCAGTACAAATGTTCAGAGCTCACACCAGCACTGCCAGTACACAAGAAGGGCCTACTATAAAGCAAGGCAAATGGTTTTATTGAGAATAGAAAGGGGATTAAAAACAAGTACCTGTTAAAAATAATCTAAGCAGGAATTCATCTCTGGTTCAAAGAAGAGCTGGTGAGGACACAGACACTGAGGGTCGTAGCAAAGAAGTGAGTGTGGGCAGGGATGGCAGCAGCCTCTGCCAGTGACACCCCAGCCATCAACGAAGTACCTCGCTCTCTAAGCCTTGCACACCCAGGACCATAGGGCAGTTCCTGGCTGACATACCTGGCATTAAGTTCCTATTACCATGGCCTGAACTTTATACCAAACCCACAAAAGTATCTAGCTGTTGGTCTAGCTGGAAGACAAGGGGGCAAGTGGCAGAAAATAAAAAGCTGAAGTGGTCAGACATTCATTTTAATGTTCTGATAATTACCCAAAGTGGACAGCCAGAAGGAATATTGGAAACCACATAGTGAGGCAGGGCTCCTCACATTCAGGGCAGGAAAAGACGTCTCACCAGGTCAAATGACACTACCAAGACAGCACAGACTGGGCCTTCTACTTACCCTGTCCGTCATTTTATTACTGACTCCAAGGAGCATCAGCATATTGTCACACTCTGTGACCCCCATTGCATAGAGGTCACTGAGGACATTGGCACATGCTATTCTGCCCTAGGAAGAGAGGGGAGATGTGAGAAAGGACAAGCAGGGACTTTCCATCTGTAGAATTAAACACCAAACCTCTGAAGAAAATGCCGGGACTTTCCAGGAAAGGCAGCTCCTGGTCAGCAGGGTGGTTACCTATCCATAGCACACATCCATCACCATTCCCACTTAGTACCTCCTGAGAACAATGAATGCACTCCACCTTCCCCACAAGGAGTATAAGAAGCCTGATTTGTTCAGCTAAGGGAGTGTGGAGGAGGCAGTCAGTCAGAGAAGCTGGATTGGACTGAATGGTCTGGGAAAATGAGTCAGGGAATAAGAGGCTGAAAACTATCTAAAACTTGGAACCTATACTTAACGAAACAGATTCTACGAATATGTTGACTTGTGTGGTTATAGAAAAGGAAATGAGCCAGGTGCCAGAGGCTCAAACCTGTCAGCTACTCAGGAGGCTGAGATCTGAGGAGTGTAGTTCAAAGCCAGCCTAGGCAGGAAAGTCCATAAGACTCTTATCTCCAATTAACCACCAGAAAATTGGAAGTGGAGCTGTGGCTCAAAGTGGTAGAACACAAGCCTTATGACCAACAAAAAAAGAAAGAAAGAATGAAAGAAAGAAAGGAAGAAAGAAACAAAGAAAAGAAGGTGAATTTTATATACTTGGACCCAGACATTCTTAGTTTTTTTTTTTTTTTGGGGGGGGGGGGGTCCGGTCGTGGGACCTGAACTCTGGGCCTGAGCACTGTCCCTCAGCTCTTCAGCTCAAGGCTAGTGCTCTACCACTTGAGCCACAGCGCCACTTCCGGCTTTTTTCTTTTTGCTTATATGGTGCTAAGGAATCAAACCCAGGGCCTCATGCATGCAAGGCAAGTGCTCTACCACTGAGCCACCTTTCCAGCCCCTCCAGACATTTTTGTTTTGTTTTGTTTTTTTTGTTTTCCCCGGTTGTGGGGCTTGAACTCTGGGCCTGGGCGCTGTCCCTCAGCTTTTCAGCTCAAGGCTAGCGCTCTACCACTTGGGCCATAGACCCACTTCCGGGTTTTTCTGTTTATGTGGTGCTGAGGAATCGAACCCAGAACCTCATGCATGAGAGGCAAGCATTCTACCACTGAGCCACTTTCCCAGGCCCCCCGCCCCCCCCCCCCCCCCGACATTCTTATAGCTTTTTTTTTTAAAGTCAGTTGTAGGGCTTGAACTCTGGGCCTGGGTGTTGTCCCTGACCTCTTCAGCTCAAGGTGAGCACTCTACCACTTAAGCCACAGTGCCACTTCCAATTTTCTGGTGGTTAATTGGAGATAAAGAGTCTCCTGGACTTTCCTGCCGGGGCTGGCTTTCAACCCTGACCATCAGATCTCAGCCTTCTTGAATAGCTAGGATTATAGGCGCGAGCCTATAAGCAACAATAAGCAGGAAATTATATTGAGAAACAAAAAAACCCAGAAGAAATAAATATTCAGGCCTAAATTCAGATTGTTTTCTTAAAAAAAAAAATTTCTGGGCTAGGAAGGTGGCTTAGTGATAGACTGCCTTGCATACATGAAGCCCTGGGTTCAATTCTTCAGTACCACAGCTGTGGCTTAGGTGGTACAGTGCTTGAGCAAAAGAAGCTCAGGGACAGTGCCCAGACCCTGAGTTTGAGCCCCAGGACTGGAAAAAAATTCCCAGAAAACTTTTATCATTTTATGAGGAACTTAAATAGCATTCAATAGAAATGTGGTAGTATTTTTTTATTACTATAGTCAATTTTTTTAAAAAACATAAGTTGCAACTATTAGATTACTAAATTTTTATATAGAGGAAATGATGTTTTTCTTGTGACTTAAGGATAAATACTTAAACTCCAAAGTAGTAGTATCTTGATGTTTAATTGATGTTTTGTGGATTCCTGACAAACTCACAACCCTCAGCAGACCTACTTTCAGCATCACCAAGCCTGATCAACATCCAGCAAGTAGTCAAAGCCATGAGATGTCAATCACTGGTCAGGGTGCAGAGACTGGCTGGTTGCTCTCAAATGCTTTTTAATAGATGCTGGAAAAAGGATGAGTTCTGGTTTTAAGATGTCTAATAGAAATGGTGTTGTGGCTCAAAGTGGTAGAGTTCTATCCTGGTAGAGCTCAGGGACAAGTCCCAGGCCCTAAGTTCAAGCCTCATGACTGGAAAATAATAAATAAATAAGGCTGGGATATAGCTCAGTGGCAAAGTACTTGCCTAGCAAGTACAATGCAACATCCTGGGTTTGATTCCTAGTTACCTGCCCACCCCAACACACACACCCCAAAAAAGTACTTGTTACCTGTTTAAGATACACTATGGCTAACGTTAAAAAAAATTTTTTTTGAAGATGTCCACTACCTGGTCAGGTAAGGTACTAGGGTGTGGCTCATCTGTCCATCTATGAAGACTTGTTCAGAGGGAACAGATGTGGGGAGGAGAGAGTACTGGTTCCTAGTCGCCTGTTTACTCCTGACAGGCACTGAGAGGTGAACAGTTTGCATCTTGCTACCTCAAGACTATAAGCCATGGACGAAGGACACTGGGCATTTTGTAACAAGTGGGGCTTTCATGTCTCTTCACTGGCTCTTTTTGGTTGGTAAAGAAGTGGAGTTTGGGATGAATAGATTAAGGAGGTTTGCAGCTGCAAGCACACAGATAGGACTGGGAAATACTGCTCCACAGTGCATGGCCAATGGCCAGGAACTGTAACTCAGAGGTCAGATACATATCACACACAGTGGCATATAACAGAGCAGTAGATAGGTACTCAGGTGGCTGGGTAGGCAGTAGCCAACTCATTATAACATTTATCAAAAGAGATGTGCAAGAACTGTGAGGAGATGCTCAGTTCCTTTACTTCCAAAAGGAAACATTTAGACTTAGTCCTATCACCCAATACAAGAACATCTCAAGCCTAAAACACAGGTGGTGAGATCTGAGGATCACATTTTGAAGCCATCCCAGGCCGGAAAGCCCGTAAACTGGAAGTGGAGCTGTGACTCAAGTGGGAGACAACTAACCTTGAGCAAAGAAGCTCAAGAATTAGCACAGACCCTGATTTCAAGCCTCAGGACTGGCACCAAAAAAAAAAAGCACAGAAAACAAAACTATCCACAAAAGAAAGTTACAGGGGAAGAAAGCAGAAAGTACTATCAGCTCTCAGTCCACAGCACTCTGCTGAAACAATAAGTGCTCTCCTGCCCAGAGGTGCAATCAGGCACAAGACTGCTTTCCTGACTTCCCTGCTCTCCTGCTGAAATGTGGTGCTAGAGTACTACTTCTGGGAGACAGCAACACAGAAACCAAGAGCCCACAGAAAAGCCCAGCCACAATACAAACCACATATAAGTTATAAAAACACAGTAGGTCAAACTTACCATCATGTAAGGATCGTCTACGATTGGATAAATGTAATCTGTGGTTTGAACCAAAGAAAGACCACCATGCCTCAAAGGAATGACGCAGGTATCCATTCCAATGCCTGGGAGGACCGAGGGGATCAGCATCAAAAGTAAAAGAAGAAACTGTTGGATTTTGTACAGTTAACACTCTGGACAATTTCTGTGTAAGACACTTTTTTTTTTGTTGGTCCTGGGGCCTGAACGGTCCCTGTGCTCTTCAGCTCAAGGCTAGTACTCTATCACTTGAGCCACAGCGCCACTTCCGGTTTTCTAGTGGTTTATTGGAGATAAGAGTGAGTCTCAGCCGGGCGCTGGTGGCTCATGCCTGTAATCCTAGCTACTCAGGAGGCTGAGATCTGAGGATCGCGGTTCAAAGCCAACCCGGGCAGGAGAGACCGTGAGACTCCTATCTCCAATAAACCACCAGAAAAACCGGAAGTGGCACTGTAACTCAAGTGGTAAAGCGCTCACCTTGAGCTGAAGAGCTGAGGGACAGCGCCCAGGCCCAGAGTTCAAGCCCCACGACCGACCAAAAAAAAAAAAAGAGTCAGTCTCACAAACTTTCATGCCCAGGCTGGCTTTGAACCTCGATCCTCAGATCTCAGCTCCTGAGTAGCTAGGATTACAGGCGTGAGCCACCGGTGCCCAGCCTGTGTAAGACACTTATTGAAACCCATACTGCCATGAAGCTATGTGTTTCCTATCAAGAAGCATAACTGAAATAAACAGAAAACATGACTAGCTTAAGGTAGAAAATAGGAGCAAAAATGTGTTTATTGCCAGGCACCAGCAGTTTATGCCTGTAATCCTAGCTACTCAGGAGGCTGAAATCTGAGATCTAGGTTCAAAACCAGCCTGGTAGGAAATATGTGAGATTCTTTATCTTCAATAAACTACAAAAAAGCTGGAAGTGGAGTTGTGGCCCAAGTGGTGGAGTGTTAGCCTTAAGCAAAAGAAGTTAAGGGACAGTGTCCAGGCCCTGAGCTCAAGCCCCAGTACTTGAAAAAAAAAACAAAACTGTGTTAGTCATCTAGACACAACTTCTATATGGTACAAATTTAAAATTGTAATGATGCCTTGAACAAAACATTTTTCTGTATTATTATAGCACACGACTGGTATCCTAAGAAGTGCTTTTTTTTTCCTTCTTTGGCAGTCGTGGGGCCTGAACTCTGGGTCTGGGCGCTGTCCCTGAGCTTTTCAGCTCAAGGCTAGCACTCTACCACTTGAGCCATGGCGCCACTTCCAGCTTTTTCTGTTTATGTGGTGCTGAGGAATCAAACCCAGGGCCTCATGTATGCAAGGCAAGCACTCTACCACTGAGCCACCTTCCCAGACCCAAGAAGTGCATTTTTGTTTGTTAGTAGTGCTGATGTTTGAAGTCAGGGCCCTGCCCTTGCTAGGCAGGCATTCTATCATTTGAGCCATGCCACCAGCCATCTTTTGCTTTCATTTTAGCCAGGGTCCTGGGGCTAGCCTGGGAACGAAATCCTGCTTTCTACCTATGTGTCCTGGGATGATACATATATGAGCTTTCTGCCTAGACTGGCCCTGAACTATAATCCTCTTAATCTTTGCCTTCCCAAGTAGCTGAGGTTACATGTGTAAGCCAACACACCTAGAGCCATACAGAATTTCTTTAAATATGTCAGTAGCATGAATGGATTATCTGTAGGTACTGGGTATGTCTTTAGATATTATTCTACTTTCCCAACAGAATTTTAATCAAAATGAAAAGGAATTCAAAGAATAGGATTTCAATGTTTCCAACCAAGTGCATACAAAAACATCATACATAAACATCTAGTACCTATACAATCACACTTTTTAAAGAAGGAAATAGCTCAATGAGCCCATAAGAAGTATCTCACTTTATTTAGGAAGATAGTAGAGAGCACTGATGGTCTAAATATAAAGAATTCCCTTTTTCTGGATCAGTTTTGGTATCCTCAAGACTAACACAGTGGGCTGGGAAAGTTGCTCAGTGGTAGAGCGCCTGCCTTGCATGCCTGAGGCCCTGAGTTCGATTCCTCAGCACCACATAAGCAAAAAGAAAAAAAAAAGCCGGAAGTGGCACTGTGGCTCAAGTGGTAGAGCACTAGCCTTGAGCTGAAGAGCTGAGGGACAGCGCCCAGGCCCAGAGTTCAGGCCCCACGACCGGACCCCCCCCCCCCCAAAAAAAAAAAGACTAACACAGTATGCTACTTTCCTCTGAAAGTCATCTATAGTGTAGAAATTTCAAGTAAGATGGATACTGAGCATTTCCCCTCAACACTTCTAGAAGGGATGCCTTTCCATCTCATGAAGCATTTCCACTTTCCACTCAAGAGTCAATGTCAGGAAAAAATCAGAATGAAGTTCAAAGGGAAGCGTATAGATTCTCCTTGGGAAATTGGAATCCTAAACCAGAGTGTCAGCAACTCATGTTTGTAATCCTAGCTACTCAGGAGGCTGAAATCTTGAGGACCACAGTCCAAAGCCAGCCTGGGCAGGAAAGTCTGAAGACTCTTTTCTCCAATTATCCAGCAAAAAGCTTGAAGTGGAGTTGTGGCTCAAGTGGTAAAGCTCCATCTTGAGTGAAAAAGTCAAGAGAAAGCATGAGATGCTGAGTTCAAGCCCCAGTACAAGCACAAAAGAAAGTTGAATTTAAAAAATACAGAAAAAAAAATCATACCAGAGTCACACAGTACAGAAGCAAAGTTATGGGGATGATTGCTTCTCGTCACACCAGCTTAGAGCCCCTCCCTTTCCTGGTGTTGGGCCATTATTACTATCCCAAAAATAAAAATCAAGCTTAATAAAAATCCAAGCTATCAAAACAAGCTCATTTTTCTAAACTAGATAGCAAAACAGCAACTCTTGGAAGATCCAGCTAGGGAAGAGACTTCACCTAATGGCAAGTCTCACAAATTGGAGACAATGAATGGAGGCTGTTTTCATCTGTGTAATAATTATCGCACAACAAAGTGTGTGATAATTCATCTCAACAGCACATGTGAGCAGGTTCACAAATATCACCCAACATTGCTTGCTCTCTATCAGCACAGAGACAGTGTGAGCCACACTTTAACTCTATCTCCCAAAGTGAAAATTCTCCCTAGCCATTCTAACTGTACTGTTTATTCACTCTGAAAAACAGCCAGAGGAAAGCTTAGTTTTTGTTTGTTCTTTAGGATTCTAAACTCAAATTTGAATATTTGCCTTGTAAAGATTTTTTTTCCTTTCTTGTTTTGTTTGGAGACAGGTTCTCACTTGGTAGGCTAGAGCTGGCCTCAAACTCTCATCCTCTATAGCCTCGTAAGTGCTGGGTATGTGACACCTTACTCAGCTGTATGGCATTTTCTTTCTTTCCTAGCCAATTCTTAACAGAATAACTGATGACTAGTATGTTCCTAGGCTCACAATGTTCACATCTTCCCTTTTACAACTGAGAGCACACCATCTGCTGGGGTTGTGTTGTCCCTACAGAGTCCCTGGCCTCAAGGGATGGATGCCTGAGTTCTCAAAATACAGCTGTTCCAAACTGAGATGTGCTCTAATTGTAAAAACAGACCAAACCATCAACAGCACCAAAACCTCAACATCTAATTAATGTTTTATATATATATATGCTGATGATTCTTTTTCTTTTTAGTACTGGTCCTGGGGCTTGAACTCAGGGTCTGGTCACTTTATCTGAACATAGTTGTTAAAAGCTAGTGCTCTACCATTTGAGCCACTGTTCACTTCTGGTTGTTTCTGGTGCTTACTTGGAGATAACAGTCTTACCGACTTTGTTGCCTGGGCTGGCTCAAACAGCAACCTCAGACTCAGCCTCCTTAGTAGCTGGGATTACAAATATGAGCCACCGACACTCGTGTTTGTAAGGTATTTCTTATGAGGTACAGAGAATATATTACAATTAATTTCATTTATTACTTTTTAAAAATATGACTGGTATAATTACCTGTGGAGGGCATCATATTTCTGGCTATAGCTTTTGGTTTATAAACACCTCCCAAATTCTTAAGCTGGGAATGGACCTTGATTCAAACTCCAAGTGACAGACAGACTAGGGAAAGGACTAGGGAAACACAGAAAGTGCCATGCAGTCTAAAAACCAGACTAAGAACCTCCTGTTCACTGCAGGAAATTGCAGGCTTTCTGGAGGACTGAAAGCCTTCAACAGGAAGAACAATTCATTCATTTCCCACCATCCCTGATCTACACCTGACAGTCCCAAAGTACCACACAACAGTATACCCCCCCACTGTCCCTGACCCACATCTGACCCCAAAGTACCACACAACAGGTATACCCACTGCCATCAATGATCCACACCTGACAGCCCCGAACTTACCACATAACAGGTGTACCCTCCACCATCCCTGACCCATACCTGACACCCAAGTACCACACAACAGGTATACCCTCTGCCATCAATGATCCCACCTGACACCCTCTACATACCACACAACAGGTGGACCCACCACTACCCATGATGCACATCCAACAGCCTGTAAGTACCATGTAATAAGTGTGCCTTCCACGATTAATGATGTATATCTAACAGTTCTTAAATACCATATAACAGGTTGTACCCTCTACCATCAATGACCCACACCTTACAGCCCCTATGTTGCACAAAGTAAGTGTACCTCCACCATCGTGAGCCATACCTCATAGTTCCTAAGTACCACACAGCAGTTGTACCCTCCACTGTCCTAAATACCACACAACAGGTGCAACACTTTCTCAGCCTTATCTTAACTTGGATATTGCATGTATCTCTAGTTAGGATACATCTAGGCTAGTAAGTGTATACTTTTAAAAAGCTGTTCAAATTCAACCAGAAAATATGACATTCAATTAGGAAAAAAATTAGAGACATACATATACACATATGCACATTTACACTGGGCACAATCTGACACAGTACTGTCCCATTTTATAGACTGGGAAGTCGAGTTGGTAATGTACAAACTGCTGACTGGTATGCGACTGTGTAGGATTCCTCAGGAACTTTTGGCCACAGAGACACACCATTTCTGCAGGACACTTTTTACCTTGCATCTTTCAGGGTTCATCTGCTTGTCGGCAATGAGGTAGGTGTGACTACCCCTAGTGAGTGCATGCATACACACTAGGGGGCTTGTGTTGTTCCTAGGAAGCAGTCAGTTCATTTGGTCCTCAAAAGCTTTAAGTGACCACACTAGTGATCTTTGTATTCTACCTGCTTTCCTTGCCTCTTCCCTGGCTGGCACTAGTCCCTCTGCCACTGCTAAGAGTGAAGGTCGCATGGGAAGATAAATCTAGTTGACTTCTGGATGGTACAGTATCAAAAAAATAATGGTTTACATACCAAGCCTTGGCATAACAGCTCCCAGAAACTGCTCATCCTCTTGGAAGTGGTTCTCTTGTAAGGACTCCAGCAATTTCTGCAGGACATCTTGGGGCACTTTGCAGCCTGTGCCCTTCAGTTCAGTAAATCTGGTTAACCGGAAGCTCTTGTCCAATTCATAACTTTCCGGGTTAAAGGACTCCCGCGTAGACATGGTTCTGGGGCCCACACTCCTCAGTGTTCAGCCCCTCCCCTCCCTCACAATCAGCTCGGCTCTGGGATCCACCTGGGCATCACCAAAACACAAAGACATATTGAAAGACTCTGAAGTCTTTCTCGGAAGACTCAAGAAACAAGCCAAGCACACCCCTGACAATGGCTGAAATGCCAAAACCTCATGGACATAAGAGATTCGTTCATGGTGGTGATGTTTAACCCAGAACCAATCATCTTCTATGTTGTTGTTTTGTTTTTTATCAGTCATGGAGCTGGATGCTGTCCCTGAACTTTTCAGCTCAAGGTTAGTGCTCTACCACTTGAGCCACAGCGCCACTTCCAGCTTTTTCTGCTTCTGTGGTGCTAAGGAATTGAACCCAGGGCCTCATGCATGCAAGGCAAGCACTGTACCACTAAGCCACCTTCCCAGCCCCACCAATCATCTTTTAAACAGGGTTATGTAAGTATCTACAGAAGATCCACATCTGGAGTGTGACTCTACCGGTGGCCATGAGGGTAAGCAAGCTTGTATATGTCACCTACCCTTGTGAACAGCAAGTCTCAGGGGTTCTAGAGTGAAGTTCTTAGAACAGCCCTGCAAATCACTCCACTTGTCTACTTTTAAAGCACTGTGTTTTAGAAAGCACAGGTCTTGCCAGGCGCTGGGGGCTCACACTTGTAATCCTAGCTACCCAGGAGGTTGAGATCTAAGGATCATGATTCAAAACAAGACTGGGCAGGAAAGTCCATAGGACTTTTATCTCCAATTAACCACCAGAAAACAAGAAATGGAGCTGTGGTTCAAAGTAGTAGAATGCTAGCCTTGAGTCAAAGAGCTCAGGGATAGTGCCCAAGCCCTGAGCTTGAGCTCCATAATGACAACCACAACACAACCAAAAACAAAACAGGTCTTAGCTAAAGTGACTTTATCTCAACCCAGAAAAACAAAACATCCAACAGAAACTGCAGCCAGGATCATTTTTGCAAACGCAACTGATGAAATTCAAGATGCTTAATCCCAATTTAAAAACAAAACAAAACATGTTTCCTTTTCAGTCAGTACCCATCACTAACAGGAAGCCTTAGTAAAGGACACAAACTTAAAAATAACTGCTTAATCGTACAAAAAAGTAAGGTCTGTGTTCTTCAAGGGAGCTCTTGCAAAGTTCTGATGGTTTCCTAGAAAGCAAACATCCCGCCCAACAAGCCAGTACACACATCATCCACAAAGTATGCCACTGCTCATTAGCATGTCAGTACCCAACGAAAACAATCACTTAAATCATACAAATCACTACACTTATAGTACTGGCTACCACTGTTTAAAAAAAAAAAAAGCTGAAGCCTCCTGAATAACGCCAAGCCCAACATGTGTTCCTGGGGTTTACAAACCTCCAGACTGATACTTTATTGGGCATAGAATTACAGACACCCCCAGTTTTAGGGTCCGTTTTCCCTATAAAAATTTATGATTAAGAACATAATTCCCATTTATAGAGTTTTCCCTCCCCTGGGAAGCACATTGCTGCTCATTTAACATCAATTTCACAAAGCTCTAGTTTGGGCTGTGATCCAAACCGTTGCTACAAAAATGTTTGGGGGGGACGAGACAGCGGGAAAACACAAGACAACACACTTGGCCTGGGAAAGATCAGAACAAAAATCGCAGACTCTTTCGTTGAAAACAACCAACCAACCATGCATTTAAACACCACCTTACCCCTGCGACGGGGGCAGTGGGGTGCTGGGATAATCCGACCCACCGGGTCAACCCAGTTCTTTTCCAACCTCCAATCCCTATTTCCTTCCGGGGGGGGGGGAAGGCGAGGAGGACGATTTGGGGGACCAGCTTCCTTTTCAGTCTCCTGATTGTGAAGTGGGGTGGTGTGTGGGGGGGGTCAAACCCCTTCCAGGTAGAAGGCGCTCAGCACCTCTTTTTAAAAAAAAGTGGAAAGAGATATATACAAGTCACAGACTCACACCCAGACTGGAACACGAAACTTGACATTTATTGGGGGTGGGAAGGGAGGGTGGGGGGCGCATGGGATGAAGGGGTTATTCAGTAAAAGTGGGGGGGGGGGACCCGGAGGCACCTCCGACCCCGCGGACACGTGTTTACACCTTTAAAACAATGACACGAATAGTTAAAGACAACGCTTAACCCCGTCCTCCCCGGGCACGTTTAGGGATCGGGACCGGCCGGCCGGTCAGCGGGGCGGGCTGGGGCGCGGCGGGCACGGCGCGTGGCCCCGCTCCCCGGGGCGGTACCTACCTACCCGCAAGCCCCCGGGCCCCGCGCGTGCACCCGCGTTCTCCATACCGAGGCCCGCGGGGCAGGACCGCCCTCCTGGCAACCTGGGGACACCTTAAGTCTCGGGGCGGCCGCCGGGGAAGTCTCGGCGGGGCCCGGGCCGCGCTCTTTGTGCCGCGCCCGCTGGCGGGCGGCCCGGGGCTGCGCGGGGTCGCCCGCCGCGCCATCCCCGGGGCCCGGGCCCGCCGTCCACCTCCACCCCCCCCCCCGCGGTCCCCCTCCACCCCCGGTGACGCGGCGGAGCGAGCGGCCCGCAGGCCCGGATCCCGCGGGGGGCCGGTGGGGGCGGGGAGGCCCGAGGCCCCGCGCCCGGGACACCGCGCTGCTCCTCCCGCCGCGCGCGCGCGCGAGCTCGGGCCTCCGCCGCCGCCGCCGCCGCCGCGCAAAAATGTCGGCGGGCGAAAAGATTAACCCCTGCGTGGCCGCCGCCGCGCCCCCCCCCCCCCCCGCCTCCTCCTCCTCCTGCCCGGGCTCGCGCGGCGGCGGCGGCGGCGGCGGCGCGGGCGGCGCTTCTTTTTAAAGCGGCCCCACCAAGCCCCGGCTCTGCCCCTCTCCAGGCAGGGCTGGAGAGGCCTCCCGGGCGCGACTCCCCGGCGGTTCCGGGCGGCCCGGAGGGGGATTTGCAACGGCCGCCGCGGGCCTGCGGACCGATATTCCCCTTTAAGCCTGGTGTCTCGCCCCCCCTCGCCAGGCCCGCCGCTTACCGGCTCGCTTTGCGCCCTCCGCCTCCTCCCGAAAACGGGCCGCGGCGCTCCCACAATGCACCGGGCGCGCCGGGCTCCCTTAAGCGTCGCCTGAATAAAAATGCCGCTCCGGGCGGGCGGGCGGGCGGAGGCCGGGCTGGGCCTGGGCTGGGCGCGGCCCTCCGGGAACCGGGCCGCCGCGGTCCCGCCGGGTCGGCGTAAGGGTCCTTTAAGGCCTGCCACCTCCCTTTAAGAGGCGGCGGGCCGCGGCTGGGTGGCTGCGTGCGGCCCGGGAAGGGGGCGGGGGCGCCGTGCAGGCCCGAGCGCGGCAATGATTGGTCTCGGGGGAGGGGTGGGGGGGTTGCAAACCCGGGGAGCGGTGGCATCCGTTGCATGATGAAAAAAAAAAAGGGGGGGGGGATTGATTTCAAAAAGTTGCATTGGTGGCGGCAGCCCCGGGCGCCGAGGCCACCTACTTTCCCTCCCTCCCGCCCGCCCCTCGGCCCGCCGGCTGGACCAGGCAGGGGGAGGGTTTTGTGCAATCTTGCCGGGCTGGCACCGCGCATCGCCGGCGGGATTCGGCCGGTACCGGCTCCCTGCGAGCGAAGGTGCTGGAAGACAAAGACCCAGGAAAGCGATTTGCGGAGGAAAATGATTTGCAATTTAATTTGCGGGGTGGGGGGGGGGGGGGAGACCCGGCAGCCGCTGCTGCCCAGGGAAGATTTGAAAAAATCCACGGCGCGCTGGGCGCCGCGAGCCCCGGCGTCTCCTTCCACCTATTGTCTAGCCGGGCCCTGGACTGCGCGGGAGCCTGCGTGCGACGTGCAAATGCCCTGCGAAGTCTTCTTTTGGAACATTCGAGACGCTGGGTGGGAAAGTCTCGGGAGGGAGGGGGGCGGTGGGAAAAGCGTGGCGGTTCCCCGGGTTGCGCGGTGTGTTTTCCCGCACGTCGCGGTCAACATGGCAGCCCGATCCTGGGTCTGTCTGCTTTGCCTTGGCCTCCGCGGCGCAGCTCCACCTCCTGAAGTGTGGGTTTGGGGTTTGTTTGTTGGATGCATTGTCTGTCGGTGCAAACAAAGACAACAAAACAAAATGCTTCCACACGTCGTGCCGGGATCGCCTTAGAAACGCGCGAGGATAGGTCTAACTTTCTTGGTCTTTTCTTTTTTCATGGGCCAGCACTTTTACGATGATTTGGGCGTTGAAATGTGGCGGGGGTCACGGAACTGGGCTTTATGCGGTTTGCACGCCTCCACGCTTCAACGTCTCGCTTTGGCATCCTCCGGTCGCCAGGTTCCTGGGGTTTGATGAATCTAGGTGGTGCCAGATGGGCGCAGGCTTCTCCGGTCTTTGTGTCCTTTCTCCCAACCCCACGATAACTTTCGTGGATGTGCTCTGTGAAAACAGTCGAAGAGCAGCGGCACCCTGCGGTTGACAACCCCGGAGTTGCTTGTGAGTCTCTTGGAAAGAAGATTCGGGTACCCACCAGCACCAAGAACCAGTCCTAGTCAAAAAGGAGGGATAAAAAAAGTACCTTTATTCCTGCCCCCACTTTTTAAATTGGTTTTGCGTTTTGAACATTGAGGGCTTTCTTTCCTTTTGTTTTTCACTTGGTGTCACCCAAAAGGCCAAGAAGTAATCTGTTTGTTTTTGAGCAAAAAAAAAAACCACAAAACTTTTTTCCAATTAGGGTGGGGGAAAAGACTTGGGGTGAGGGAAGGTAATATATAAAGGTCAGGGGTAGCGGATGAAGATTTGTGTCACACTAAGAAGTAGCTTTAGCTCTGCTGTGATGTTGGAAGGTAGCCACCCCCAGAAGAGACAGCAAGATCACACTTCTAGTTAAGAGGGCATTGTACCAGGTCTGCCAGCAGTGATCCCAGCACGTGTACTTGAGCTGAAAGCAACTGGGGCTTGTCAGGGGAAGTTGGTGTGATTTAACATGTCAGAAGGAGCAGAGCATCACAGCTCCCTTCCTCACAAATACCACCTGAGTTCTAGCTTGGAGGGACTGGACGGGTAGTAAGGCCACCAACGAGTCGAGGAGCCTACTGGAGGAAGCAAGCTAGTTGGGGGTTGAGTTGAGTTTTGGAAAGGAGCTCTGGGCTTGAGATTCAACTCTGGATGCCATCACCTTCAAACTCCAGAAGAGGGGTAGGATTAACCCTGCTGGAGCTAGATTGCTGGAGAGGAAGTGAGGAGACCTTGGACAGAGCTCCACAGACTAGGAAATCATCCAGCCATCAGTAGCCACCTGTGTCCCCACAACAAACCTTTCCCACCAATCGGGAGATTTCTTCACTAAGCTGCAGCTACTCTCAACCCTATACCCTTGGGCCCAGACCTTTGTCCTCTTGAAGCTCCTCCCAAGAGTATTGCTTTGCCCCCCAACCCCTCCCTGCTCCAAGTTCCCTATAGGGTTCACCTGAACCCCATTCCTGGAAGCCACCTCCCTTCTCAGGTTTTACTGGTACCAAGATAGATAGATGAAGAGACAGGGAAATTAAAATTTAATACCTATTAAAAGGACCAGGTTTAGACCTTAAACCCGGGAAGCTGAAAAAAACAAGCAAACATCCCCTGGAGCAGTTAGCTCCCTCCCCTCTTCTTTTAGGTGTTAAGTTGCATGAATGTGGGATCATCTAAATCTGCCTTCTTTGAGATGCTAAAAAAACCTGTTAAGTCTCCCATTTTGAGTGTAGGAGCGAGAGCTCTCTTGCTCAGTATTTATTCTGGGTACCCTAATCCAATCCCCACGTTTAGAATAATAAGCAGCGTGCATTTAGCTGCCCTAAACCAATTGTCTAAAGATTAGAGGCTGCTCGCTAGACGTAACCACGTGCTTTCTCCCAGCTCAGAGAGTATAAGGATGCAGGTTTAAAAAAATATATATCACTCCCATTTCTTTCATGGGAATCAGGAAACATTTCTCTTTTCCATGTCTCCCTCCTTTATCCTGTTATACTAAAATCCATGCTAAAACTTCTACCTTGTGAGACTCTCTTTTTTTGTGACACCATCTAAAGTTCTTTTCACGCATGGATCTCAAGGATCTGTGATTCTGCGTGGAAACTGGGAAGCTAAGGAAGTTCTCACCCAACCTCTGGCGAGGTGATGGGTGCACTCCCCATCCTCACCCACTTCTGAAACCTGAGCCCTGGTTCCCCTGGGCAACATATTTGACTGAGGCTTATTAAAAACACCAATTTGCCAATTTGAAAAGTTATACCTAACAGGTGTAATAGGTTGAATTATACTCCCCAAAAGATTTGATGAAGTCCCCTCCCCCTCCTAGTACCCATGAATGTGCTCTTATTTGGAACTGGGGGAGGAGTGGAGATTTCCAATCAGTGGTAGAGCACTTGCCTAGCATCTGTGAGGCTCTGAATTCCATTCCCAGCATGGGAAGGAAGGAAGGAAAGAAGAAAACCCTGGCACCAGTAGCTCATTCCTGGACTCCTAGTTTCTGGGAAGGCTGAAATCTGACAGTTGCAGTTCAGAGCCATCCCCGACAGAAAAGTACGAGTCCACAAGGAAGCTCAAGGCTATGAAACTCATATTTTCAATTAACCACTAAAAAGAAATGGAGCTGTGGCTTACGTGGTGGAGCACTAGCGAAGAAGAGGAGGAGGAGGAGGCTGCGGCGGAGGAAGCAGCTGGGAGACAACGCCCAAGTGCTGAGTTCAAGGCAGGATACCAACACACAGACACACACACACACAAATAATAATAATAATGGCTGGGTGGCCTAGTGGTAGAGTGCTTGCCTCACATGCATGAAGCCTGGGTTCGATTCCTCAGTACCACATACACAGAAAAAGATAGAAGTGAATGCTGTGGCTCAAGTGATAGAGTGCTAGCCTTTAGCAAAAGAAGCTCAGGGACAGTGCCTAGGGGGATTAGAGTCTTTGTAGATGTAATTGAGATCAATGAAATCAGGTGAATTGTGAATTAGAATGGGTCTAAAATCCAATGGCTATGTCTTTACAAAGAAATATATGTGTGTAGCACCATATGCTGTAATATCAGTCCCTGGGGGCGCAGAGCAGGAGTATAAGTGATTCCAGGCCAGACCCAGAAATAAAATATAGACAGAAGGATAGAATAAAATAGAGAATTTTGGAGGCACAGGTACCCAAAGAAGACCATAACAGAAAACACACACTAAAGATTTCCAACAAATGCCAGATGCTGGAAGAAGTAAGAAATGCAGCCCTGTGGCTTACGTGTATGTGCATGCAAGTGCACACATGTATGTGTAGTTATAATAATCTGTGTTTTAGGGGCTGGGAAGGTGGCTCAGTGGTAGAGTGCTTGCCTTGCATGCCTGAGGCCCTGGGTTCGATTCCTCAGCACCACATAAGCAAAAAGAAAAAAGCCAGAAGTGGTGCTGTGGCTCAAGTAGTAGAGTGCTAGCCTTGAGCTGAAGAGCTGAGGGACAGCGCCCAGGCCCAGAGTTCAGGTCCCACGACTGGACCCCCCCCCCAAAAAAAATCTGTTTTAAAGGGCTTCCCACATGTTTCCACTATTTTGAGGACCACCTCCCTAAGAATTCTGCTTCCTTTGAAATACAAACGGACAAAGTATATTGTATTCTTTCGAAATCCATTTTGTGCTAGCTCCAAAGAAGCCATGCAACTTTCTTTTCCTACTGCCACTTTCCTATCCATGAACCTTATGTTGTTTGAATCATACTCACCCAAAAGTAGCTCCAGGCCAGGCATCAGTGGCTCACACCTGTAATCCTCTCTACTCATGAGGCTGAGATCTGATGATCAGGTTCAAAGCCAGCCCAAGGAGGAAGTCTATGAGACTCTTATCTCTAATCAATCACCCAAAACTTGGCAGTGGAGGTGTGACTTAAGTGGTACAGCACTAGCTTTAAGCAAAGAAAGCACAAGAACAGCACCCATGCCCTAAGTTCAAGCTGTTCAAGTTGTACTTGTATACAAACAAAGAAACTGGTTCTTGCTAGGAGCGGTGCTTGGGCCTGTAAGCCTAGTTACTCAGTAAGCTGATGAAGTAAGGAGGTCAGGTCTGGCCGGCACCATATTGGCCACATGGTGGATGGTAGGGTCTGGCATCTTGTCTCCCTGCTGGGGGGAAGAACCCTCCCTGCCCCCACCCAATCATCGGCCTCCCAGGTATGGGCGTGCCCA